GATATTACCTGGGCTGTTGTGGTCTGTAGGGACTACTGAGGGTTGGATTTCTTTATTGTGTGCACCATGGTCTGTTGCTGTTTACCAGGTTGGGTAGCCGGCATCTGCTGGTGAGGTTCCAGGGGAGCCTGCGAAGTGGCTGTGCCGGGCAAGGAGAGCCTGCGCTGTCGTGCTATGGCCGATGGGGGGTCGTTTAGTGCCGTCTGCTGATCGTGTTGATGACATGTTCCCTGTTGATGCCTCCTGTTTCTCTTGTTTTTGTTTCTTTGTTGAGGAAGAGGGGCAGGAGGCTCCTGTCCATGACACCTGGTTGTGGCTTCGAGAGTTGAGAATTCCTGGGCATTGAGTTGGGTGACCTGATGAGAGGTCTGAGGTATGGCAGGGTTCTCTGCACCCATCGTCTGCTGAGAGTGATGATCTGTCATAGCCTGCTGCCGAGTTTTTGGTGTCTTCCAGGCTCCTTGAATTCTGGCAAGCCTCTCGGGGCATCGTGGATTCCGGGCATGGTGTTTCTGCCTGCAGTTTGGGCATTGTGGAGTGGGTGGCGATGCATTTTTCAGCTTGGTGATGCATTCCTCGGTAGGGTGGTGCTGGCTGCAGACACCGCAGATTACTCTGTTTGGACAGAGTGCACCCAGGTGTCCATAACGTTGGCACTTGAAACAACGAACTGGTTCTGCCGTGAAGGTCCTGACGTCATACCTGCCCCAAGAACCGAGATCCAGCTGGGATGGTAGTGGTCCTATATGCTGTATGAGGACCTGTCGGGTTGGAGCATTGCCTGCCATCTTTGCCTTGAGACGTTGAGCTGACACCACACTGGGGTGAGCTGCTACTGCCTCGATAGGCATCATCAGTGGGTATCGCATCACTACACCCTTGGTGATCTTCTGCCGAGAGTCCAGTTGCTCCAGAGTGAAGGAGTGATCTGTCTCCATGACTCTCTTCAAGGTGGTGTACATTTCCTTGTTGAGAGGAGTCAGTACTGGTTCTCCCCTCAAGTTGAACCATATCTTGAACTTCAGGTTGTGGTGCGATTCCAGGTATGAAACAATGCCATAGTGGGTTCCGTGGTCCCCGTAAGACTTCACCTTGAATTTTCCAGGTCGGTCGAGCTGGTTTGCCTGATCCTTGGACGGATGGCGCTTCTTGTTTTTGTTCACAGTGATCCATCCTTCTTGGTTCTAGGGGGGTGGGGTGTTTATTTTCTCCCCCGTTTCCATATTTGTTGGCTCCATGGTTGAAACTGGCTCTTCCTCTGCCTCTGATGACAGGGAGTGGTCTCGCAACTTCTTCGCTAGAATTGCATCCCACATTTCCAGATCTGAGTCCTCCATCGTGTTCATTGAGCATCGTGGCCTCTTCGGCAGAAGCCATGTGCCTATCTAGTGATAAGGTAGTGTACTCCGTGAACTGAGTGTATGAACTCTACTCAGGATGGAGCCTTATATACCGCCAGGAGGCGAGATGAAGGCCATTAGTAGAGGTAAGAATGTAGTCGTTGGGAGGTCACGTTCCTCTCAAATCTAGCCATTCTCACTAGTTGAAGTTGTCCAAGTTTTTTTTTTTTATTCTGTACCAAGATACCATTGTGTTGCAGTGTCTGACAGAGTGAACAACAAAGTGGTATAAAATACCGACAAGTTGTTAGGTAAGACACATATGCAACAATTAGGTATCTTTATTTCGAAACGTTTCGCCTACACAGTAGACTTCTTCAGTCGAGTACAGAAAAGTTAATAGAAGCAGAAGAGACGTGAAGACGTCAGACACTGCATCTCACCTCCTGGCGGTATATAAGGCTCCATCCTGTCACTTCAACTCCATATTGTTTCAGACTATAGAACAATACTCTTCTCCAGACTGAGGGACTGACCACCTCAAAACTTCAAGGGTGATGGACTGATTACATCGTCTTCACGTCTCTTCTGCTTCTATCAACTTTTCTGTACTCGACTGAAGAAGCCTACTGTTTAGACGAAAAGTTTCGAAATAGATACCTAACTGTTGCATGTGTGTCTTACCTAACAACTTTGATGTTCACTCTTATGTGGGATAGCGATGAAGTTTCTTGTCAAGGGGTTCAACTATGTTATAGAAGCTGTTGTTCTGGTTGAAGTTGTTGGATATACAGATAAGTGATGATTGCAGGATTCTGCAGTATTGAGTGTTTTCTCTGGCGACAAGTCTTGCGTTTCTGTAGATGATTAAATGGTTGTGTGAATTTCAGTGTTGAACACAGGCATTCCTTGGATCGTCAGATCTGCCTGCGTACCGGTGTTCTGAAATAAGTGTTTGGAGGTCTATGGATGTTTCACCGACGTATAATTTGCTGCTGTCATTACAAGGGATTGTGTATACCCCTGCAGAGGATTGAAGCTTGTCTTGTCTATCACAGGTAATGTCCTTGATGGTGGTGGATGTGCAAGTAGATACTTGGAATGAGGTTTTGGAGAAGATGTTGGAAACGTGTTTGGTAATGAAATTGGTGGGGAGGGCTATATATCTCTTCTCAGCAGTGTCTTCTCTGGGTGTGTTAAAGATGTTTAATGCCTGTCGTCTGCAGTCTCTAGTAAAGTGATGATAGTGAAGTTTACAGAATAGTTGTTCAATAAGAGAGTATTCTTCAAGGAACTCACTGCTGCAGATTATAAATACACGTAGGAAAAAGCCTATAATTACACCACGTTTAGTTTTGGTGTCGTGGTGAGAGTAGAATACACAACCCGCACATAGAAGAGAGAACATAATATAAGAAAGGAGGAACACTGCAGCAGGCCCGTTGGCCCGTACCAGGCAGGTCCTTTACAATCCTTCCCACTAACAAAATATTTGCCCAACCCAATTAGCAATGCTATGCAAGTCTCACTCAAATCCAACCCCTCTCACATATGTATTTATCTAACCTAAATTTGAAACTACCCAACGTTTTAGCTTCAATAACCCTAATAGGTAGACTGTTCCACTCATCAACTACCCTATTTCCAAACCAGTACTTTCCTATATCCTTTCGAAATCTAAACTTATCCAATTTGAATCCATCATTGTGGGTTCTTTCTTGAAGGAATATCCTCAAAACCTTATTTATATCCCCTTTGTTAATACCCATCTTCCACTTAAACACTTCGATCATGTCTCCCCTCATTCTTCGTCTTACAAGTGAATGTAGTTTAAGAGTCTTCAACCGTTCTTCATACGGAAGATTTCTAATGCTATGTATTAATTTGGTCATTCTACACTGGATGTTTTCTAGCGAATTTATATCCATTCTGTAATATGGAGACCAGAACTGAGCTGCGTAATCTAGGTGAGGCCTTACTAATGATGTATAAAGCTGTAAAATAACCGCTGGACTTATGTTCCTTACACATCTTGATATAAATCCCAGTAATCTGTTTGCTTTGTTACGTACGCATAAGCACTGCTGTCTTGGTTTAGTTAAGGTTACTGCTTACCATAACTCCCAAATCCTTTTCGCAATCTGTATGGCTAAGTTCTATGTTATTTAACTGATAAGTACTAGGGTTATGGACACTCCCGAGCTTCAGAACCTTCCATTTATCTACATTGAACTGCATCTGCTACTTTTCTGACCAGGAATTGAGTTTGTCTAAATCCTCCTGAAGTTCCGTGACTTCTACATTTGAATCAATTATCCTACCTATCTTTGTGTCGTCGGCGAATTTGCTCATATCACTAGTAATTCCCTCATCAAGGTCATTGATATATATTATAAACAACAACGGGCCCAAGACTGATCCCTGTGGAACGCCACTTGTACAGACCCCCCTCATTTAACCCCATTTAGCATATCTCGCTTCCTATTGGGGAGCTATACTCGTCCTGACAGCAATTTTCCCCCAGTGCCAAGCAGCCACTTCTTTAACAGTTTCTGATGTGGACTATCAAAACCTTACTAAAAAATAAATAAGTAATATCGAATTCTTTTTTTGACAAAGAACATAAACTAAAACGAAGGAACACTGCAGAAGGGTACGGGCCCCTGCGAGGCAGGGCCAATCCCTACCGGGTTAAGCCAAAGCCCCAACCTAGTCAGCAGGTCACATTGACAAAGGGGGGAAACGGCAACCGACCTGGGAGCACAAAATATCAGGTCTAACTCACACCCCCCCAATCCACTCATTTTTTATCCAACCTATTTTTAAACTACACAAGTTCCCGGCCTCTATAACGGTACTTGGGAGTTTGTTCACTCATCCACAATCTATGCCAAACCCGTACTTTTTTATATCCTTTTGAATCTGAATTTTTCAACTTAAAACCATTTGCTGCAGTCCTTTTTGGGTAATATTTTCAGACACTATTTTACATCCCCTTTATTTTTTCGTCTTCCATTTATACACCTCATCATATTTCCCTAATTCTCGTCCCTTTTTAAGAGTGCAGATTCAGGGGCCCCTTTGCTACCTCATAGGGAAGGTTTCTGATCATGGGGTCAACTTTTTTCATCCTCCCTTTTTACATTTTCCCAAAAATTTAATCCATTTTGTAATAAGGTGACCAAAACTGTGCAGCTAAAATAAATGAGGCCCAACCCGGATGTTAGAGTTGAAGAACAACCTGAGGACTCCTATTATTTTTGCTTCTTGATATGAAGCCAAGGGTTCTATTAGCGTTATTGCGAACACTTATGCACTGTTGTCTTGGTTTCAGATTACTGCTAACCAGAACTCCTAAATCTTTTTCGCAATCCGTAATATTAAGATCTACATTATTTAGTTTATATGTGGCATGATTATTGTCCTGTCCAACATTTAGAACTTTGCATTTGTCTATATTAAACTGCATCTGCCACTTCCTCCGACCACTGCATCAGTCTATTCAAATCTTCCTGAGTGCTCGAATGTCCTCGTCAGAATGAATTCGACGGCCTATTTTGGTGTCATCGGCAAACTTGCCGATGTCGCTCTTTATGCCCTCATCTATGTCGTTTATGTAATTGTGAACAGCAGGGGGCCCAACACTGACCCCTGTGGAACACCGCTCGTGACACTTCCCCACTCTGATTTCTCCCCATTTATGCAAACTCTCTGCTGCCTATTTGTCAACCATGCCTCTATCCAGGAAAAAATTTCTCCTCCTATTCCATGTGCTTTAATTTTCCTCAATAGTCTCTGATGTGGGACCCTGTCAAAAGCCTTACTGAAGTCCATATACACAATATCATATTCATTACCATGATCTACCTCCTCAAATACCTTAGTGAGAAAAGTTAATAAATTCGTAAGGCAGGAACGCCCCTTTGTAAAACCATGCTGAGATTCGTTGATTAATTTATGCTTTTCAAGGTGGCTACGAACTGCCTCGGCAATTATTGATTCCATAAATTTTCCCACTATGGAGGTTAGGCTTATTGGTCTATAGTTCGAAGCTAAGGACCTGTCACCTGTTTTGAAAATAGGTATCACATTTGCCATTTTCCACTTATCAACGGCCTCAAAAGCTTTACTGAAGAAGGTTAATAAATTAGTTAGGCAGGAACGACCCCTCGTGAATCCATGCTGAGTATCATTAATCAAGCTATGGTTATCGAGATGGCTTCTTTTATTATCAGCTATAATTGACTCTAGTAATTTGCCTACAATTGAGGTTAGGCTTATTGGGCGGTAATTTGACGGTAACCACTTGTTCCCTGCTTTAAAAATAGGAATTACATTAGCCATCTTCCACATATCAGACACTACACCTGTTTGAAGAGATAAATTAAAAATATTAGTTAAAGGTTCACAGAGTTCCATTTTACATTCTTTAAGAACCCTTGAAAAAAGTTCATCAGGGCCCGGGGATTTATTTTGCTTTAACCGGTCTATCTGTTTGATAACCATTTCGGTAGTGACTGTGATATTACATAATTTATCATCTTCAGGCCCACTATAAAAATTAATTACTGGGTTATTGTTAGTGTCTTCATGAGTGAAAACCGAGAGAAAATGATTATTAAGAATAGAGCACATTTCATTCTCCTTGTCAGTAAGGTGCCCAGATTTATTGTTAAGGGGACCTATCTTATCTCTGACTTTTTGTTCTATAAACTTTGAAAAAACTTTTTGGGTTAGTTTTCGAATCCCTAGCAACTTTAATTTCATACTCCCGTTTAGCTTTTCTTATCCCATTTTTAACATCCCTCTTAATGTCAATATACTGATTCATAAGATGACCCTCACCTCTTGATATGCCTATAAATTCCTTTTTTCTGTCCTAAAAGATATTTGAGCCTATTATTCATCCATTTGGGGTCATTTCTATTCGATCTAATTTCCTTATATGAGATAAATGTCCTTTGGGCAGCATGTATTGTGTTAAAGCTGTCATGCTGATAGCTCTCTTCGTTACTCCAGTCCACAAATGATAAGTGTTCTTTAAGCCCATTGTAATCTGCTAAGCAAAAATCTGGGACCATTACTGAATTATCCCTACTGTCATACTTCCATTCAATGCTAAAGGTAATTGATTTGTGATTGCTTGTGTCGAGTTCCTCTGTAATTTCTAAATTATTAACAAGGATTTCCTTGTTTGCCAGAAGCAAGTCAAGCAGGTTATTTCCCCTTGTAGGCTCTGTCACAAACTGCCTAAAAAGACAATCCTGAACTACTAAGAAGTCGTTAGATTCTAAATTCCCAGTCAAGAAATTCCAATTAGTATGATTAAAGTTAAAGTCTCCTAGAATTACTACATTATCGTACCTTGTGGCCTTAACAATTTCATCCCATAGTAGTCTCCCTTGGTCCTTATCTATGTTTGGGGGACGGTATATCACTCCTAAAATAAATTTTTCATGCCCCTCTGAAAATTCTATCCAAACAGACTCTGTATGTGTAATACCCATTTTTATGCAACAGTTAAAGTGATCTCGGACATACAGTGCCACCCGACCCCCCTTCCCGATACTTCTATATACTTAGAACAATTTAAAACCCTGAATGTGACATTCTGCAGGCATGTCCCGACTTTTTGAATTAAAACACGTCTCAGTTATGGCAAATACATCAGTGTTACCTTCACTAGCACTAATCTCAACTCGTCCATCTTATTCCTAGCACTACGGCTATTAGCATAATATATTTTTAAATACCCTCCTTTCTCTTTACCCTTCCTGCTCATTTCTGTTTTTCCAATAAAACTATTACTGTCCTTGTCACCTAGTGCCACTGGCTTTCCAATATTCACCTCATTCTGCCTATTACTAGTTCTCCTAGTACTCATATTACTACACTGGGACCTCACTGTTTTCTCGCCAAAACCCATACCGCTAACTATTCCTAGTTTAAAGTCCTAACAGCTCCCTCCACTGCAGTTCCTAGTGCCCCCACCCCAGACCTAGATAAGTGTACCCTATCCCTGGCATACATGTCATTTCTGCTATAGAAGAGGTCCCATTTGTCAATGAATGTTACTGCATTTTCCTTACAGTATTTGTCCAGCCAGCAATTGACACCAATTGCCCTGGGCAACCATTCGTTTCCAACTCCTCTCCTTGGCAAAATACCACATATGACAGGGTTCCCACCCTTTTTCCTAATTATTTCTATTTCTGACCTATACCTGCTAATCAGGTTCTCAATCCTACGTCTGCCAACACCATTGCTTCCCACACTGAGGCAGATAATAGGATTGCTCCCATTGCCTTTCATGTCGTCGTCCAGACGGCTAACAATATCTCCCATCCCAGCCCCAGGAAAACATACCCTCTGCCTCCTCTTCCTGTCCCTAAGACAAAACGCCCTATCCATAAGCTTAACCTGACTGTCTCCAACTAAAAGTGTTCTTACCTTCACTTGTGGAATTCGTCATGACGTTCTCGATGGTCTTCGTTGGGGTTTCTAGGGATGTTTCCCTCACGTCTGCCAATGCTTCCTTGGTGCTCGCTGTGACATTCCCAGTAGACAACCCACATTCGTCAGGTAGCACCGAAAATGGGTTGGAAGTTTCCACAGTAGTCTTCTGGTTCTTCATTGTTTCTGCCTCTCCATCAGTCTTCTTGATCCTCAGCTTGGTTCCATGTTGTGCAGCCACTGACCAGGTTCCTCTCTTAACGTGAGGACTCACAACAGGATTACTACGAATCCTCTTGTTCTCCAACGTTAGTCGCCACCATATCTCCAGCTTAGCAACCCTAAGCTCCTCTTTTAGCTGCTGGTCGAGTTGCTCAAGAGAGGGCATCCTGGTTCAGATTCACAGAGAGCACACGAACAAGTCTTCACCCAAGAGCACACGAACAAGTCTTCACGGTCCAAGTCGGACTGAAACGTCGTCGTAAGCTCCTCTCTTCTATGTGCGGGTTATTTGTGTATTGTTCCAGTCACGGTATTGTGCCTTTTTTTTGTTATTTGTGAGAGTAGAAGTGCAGAAGATCGTGTTGGTAGGTTTCCGATAGACTTTAAAACGAAGTTCATGATCAGTTTTGCAGAAAAGAACATCGAGGAAATGAAGTGTGTTGTCGACTTCTTCTAGTGTGAACTGGATGGAGGGCTCGACCTGGTTGAGCTTGAGCTTGATGGATTGTAAAGGACCTGCCTAGTATGGGCCAACAGGCCTGTTGCAGTGTTCCTCCTTTCTTGTGTTTGTATGTTCTTTTGTTATTCGTAAATGAAGATACAAAACTGTGGTGAGTGTTTTGATCTGTCTGCTATGAGGATAAACAGTAAAGGCGCCAGGGTCATGTCTTAGGGTGCTGATATGTTTATTTTGACGGGTTAGGGCATTGGCTTAAGCCGGTAGGAGACTTGGACCTGCCTCGCAAGGGCTAGTAGGCCTGCTGCAGTGTTCCTTCTTATGTTTTTATGCGTGAAACAATCTTCCGAGTAGGGTGATAGAGGCTAGGACCTTGGGTGGCTTTAAAATGAGATTAGACAAATATATGAGTGGGAGGGGATGGGTTTGATTGGGGTCATTGGGTACGGGAGTAAATTCATGGGTAGCTTTGGGTTGGGGTGGTTTTGATAAGGACCTGCCTTGTATAGGCCAGTAGGCCTTCTGCAGTGTTCCTCCATTCTTATGTTTTCCTGGTCCAGCAGACCGACCCTGGGCCAGGCTACCAACAGGTTTTACCACCATTAACTGGCAATACATGACGTTAACATAGCATCTGGTACTTAAACCTGGATAATGTAGACTTTAGTAAATTGATTTTAATTGGCACTCTGGCTGGCTGTCTGTCTCTCACACCCACCAACATTGTGTGGGCGGCCCAGGCAAGGCCTCAGGTGACCAAAAGCTTTAGTGGCGGGTCATCATATGACTAAGACCCGCATCAGGAAACACTTGTTCTGCATTCCGGCAGGGTTTGTGAGCCGGCAGGGTGTGTGAGCCGGCAGGGTGTGTGAGCAGGGATGGTGTATGAGCAGGGAGTGTGTGTGAGCAGGGTGTGTGAGCAGGCAGGGTGTGTAAGCAGGCAGGGTGTGTGGGCAGGCAGGGAGTGTTAGCAGTGAGGGTATGTGAGCAGGGAGGCTGTGTGAGCCCGCAGGGTGTGTGAGGATGGAAGTTGTGAGACCAGGGAGGGTGTGTGAGCAGGCAGGGTGTGTGAGGATGGAAGTTGAGAGACCAGGGAGGGTGTGTGAGCAGGCAGGGTGTGTGAGGATGGAAGTCGAGAGACCAGGGAGGGTGTGTGAGCAGGCAGGGTGTGTGAGCAGGCAGGGTGTGTAAGCAGGCAGGGTGTGTGGGCAGGCAGGGAGTGTTAGCAGTGAGGGTATGTGAGCAGAGAGGCTGTGTGAGCCTGCAAGGTGTGAGAGTAGGGAGGGTGTGTGAGCAGGCAGGGTGTGTGAGGATGGAAGTTGTGAGACCAGGGAGGGTGTGTGAGCAGGTAGGGTGTGTGAGGATGGAAGTTGTGAGACCAGGGAGGGTGTGTGAGCAGGCAGGTCATGTGGGTGTTGTTGGTTGTGATATGGTGGTGGTGGTTGTGGGAGAGTTGTTGGTTGTAATAGTGGTGGTTCTAGCAGTCTTGTTGGTTGTGATAGTGTTGGTTGTGATATGTTGGTGGTTGTGATAATAGTGTTGGTTGTGGTAGTGTTGATTGTGACAATCTGGTTGGTTGTGATAGTGTTGTTGGTTGTGGTAGTGTTGTTGGTTGTGATACGTTGGTGGTTGTGATAATAGTGTTGGTTGTGGTAGTGTTGATTGTGACAATCTGGTTGGTTGTGATAGTGTTGTTGGTTGTGATATGTTGGTGGCTGTGATACTGTTGTTGGTTGTGGCAGTGTTG